AGGCGCACGCCTGCATTGTTTGACAAGAGACGAAACGAAACGTAGAGGGCGATGGAGGGTGAAAGGAGCATTCCCTCCCCACACAATCCTTCGTACTCTTAGACACACCACACTTCCCGTATCGATAGCGCCTGAGACTACGAGCTCTATTTTGAAATGTGACCAGCCATAGACTCTTGAAGGCTGTCTGACCTCAAGGTCAAATCAACCACTGACACCGACCTGCATGAATTTACAGCCCGACTCGGGCGAGATGCGACCCTGTTCCAGGTTAAATTGCAGGTTACATCTCTATACGGAACGAGCCTTCTTTGCACTGCTTTATCGTTGCGAAATATTAAATCCAAGAAAAATCGACTTATTTTATTTTCAAATTCATGCCACCACTGCTGGAGGGCTTATAGAACTCCGCGTTGCCTTTTCATTATAGAGAATCAATGAAACCACTGGACTAGGAGTGGCTCGCCAAAATTCCCGTTGGGGATTCAAAATCAAAAAAAAATTGGGAACATTCAAGGTGCATGGTGAACCCTTTTGGCGTGTGTTCACCTTCTCGTTGGTCGTCGCTCCCTGCCTTTGTTTCACGTACAAAAACTCGTATATAAATGTATGGGCACCATAAAGTAAGTTGCAACAATGAATCACGCCATATAGGGCTCGGAGAGGCGTCATTGAAATAGTTAGATAGGTGGGAAGAATTCTGCAAGAGTGGCGAATAAATTCGAGTGCATAGCCGACAGCAGAGCCCCATCCGGAATCGGCCACATCCATCATGGCCAGAAAAACACAGCGTCCTCATTTCAGTTTCGTGGCTCCAGGAGCTATTCTGAATGGCACGCACATACAAAAGAACATTCTGCTGTCTAAACCTTCACCGCAGTGTGCCTGGCTGTGAAATGCTTTGATATATGGAGAAGTTAGACTTTTGATCTATCCATTTGACACCACCTGTAGTTCCAGGCGCTTTTTCAGCTCTGCACAAACCTAAATACACTTTTCAGGATTTTTTCATAAGGATTCCCGACTCTGTAACTAATCATTTACATCAGTAGTTAAAAAACTCATCTTAGTGAGCCAGAAATTGCTTAATTGTTAACAATGCCTTGAACCTCCAAGTAGCTAATAGCGCTCTACGGCGATCGCACCGCGACCGCACGCTGTTGACGGATGTTCGGATTTTGTACTTTTTCAATTGTTCACGTACTTCGTTTGTTTACCATTTTCATTTGAAACTGAACATCTTTGAGAAAAAAGTTGATGTTTTTTCAAGTGGTCGTGGACATTTTTAGGTTTGACCTTGTAGTTTTAAAATGGTCATGAATATTTGTTATTTGAACCCAAATTTCTCTAATAACCGTGGACATTTTTCAATCAGTAGACTTTCTTTGAATGACCGCATGTGTTTTTAGGAGTGGTTTTTTCTGAATTAAGATGGGTGCCGCTTCGTTGGAATTTAAATATCTTTATTCTGGCCTGTAATTTTTTCCAACCATCAAACGGTGCAACTTTGGAATGAAAAATTCGTGTTTTTGGTCTCATTGCCTTTGTGGGGGAGAGGCATCCAAAACAGGTTCGATGGTAAGTGACGCTAGGGCTAAGTGTAGGGGAGGGAAGAAACGCCAAGGAGAACATAACATGCTCCTTCCTTCCCTAAAATCCCATCCCTCCTCAAGGCCGTCCCAAGTTAGTTGTTGGTTGTTAATCTCAAGAACAGTAAGCGGCTCACTCACTTGAATGTCTCGCCCCCCCCCCCTTCCCCAGGCACGAGGGCCTTCTCGACAAGAACCCTGTCAGCTGTCAGAGATGTAGTACATTCTTGTTCCACCTTCCCTACACTTCTGAATAATCGCAAAATGCTCTTCGGTCGTCGAGATGCTCAACAGGCGCTTCGTCGACGTCTTCACTTTCCAAAGTCTTCTTGGTCAGAACATCTATGGATCTTCAGGGGATTTTCAACTTAAGCAGCGTCAGCCACGACCCTTGCTGTTCGTTTGATTATTCGATTCCATCACTAGTGATCTTTGCATGACAGTTACAGTATGACATTGGCGTGCGTTCCTTTCCTGGACGCGATCTTGAACTCCATCAAGTAACTGAAGTAGTAAACGTAGCCAAGGATATAGCATTGTCTTTCAGCCGTCACTATTATATTTTCAACGTCTTGCAGGACATTAGGGGTCAGATCTATTCCGTCTTCACCTCCATAGCGGCGGAATTGGACGACAGTGCCTTCCCGTCCATAGGTGCCAGCAATGCTTCTTGTGGACGTTTCGTACAGATTACAATCTTAATTAAATTCTAGACTGAATTCGGAGAAACATGTGTGCAGTTTGATTAGTTAGGCTAATACTCTCGATGGTTTGGCAATTTTCCAAAGGAATCACACAGAAGCCAGAATGTCCAGGGTGTGGTTCACTAGGACAGAAAGCGAATTTTCCGCTTTTCGCACGCGAAACTTTTTCGCTGCGGGAATCCAGGTCCACCCATGATCAGCGGTGGACCTGAGGTTCCTGCAGCGAAAAAGTTTCGCGCTGCGAAAGCGGTGAATTCGCTTTCTGTCCTAGTGAACCACACCGAATGTTCACGGTTTCACTGAAAAAATACAGATTGATTGGAAACATGTCTGCGGTCATCTGAATAGTCATCACTTTATAAAAATCGTACTAATTACAACGTAACTCTTTCAAATAAGAAATGTGTTTTTTGAATCCATTGATAGAATTGCATCTTCACTCAGTGCTAGTTTACTGGACCTACGGCCACAGTAAACAACCTTTTGCCGGGGCAAAGTCATATGCTAAACAAAGTTTTGTATTATTCTCTGAAATTCCAACTGATTGACTTTTTCAGGATGCTTGGCGTGTTTGATAAGATCAAGTTTAAATTCCTCACCAAGAGACGCCTTTTTCT